AGAAAGATTGTTGTTCAGAGAGTGATGTATCCAAGTGTACCAATTAAAAGGTGAGTGGAAGTGAAAACTATGGTCAGAGGAGACACACGAGTGAAATAGAAATCCACAAGCTTGACATGATTGTGAAGGCATTTCCATGCTACAGACTCTACAGCATGGAAAACATAATTATCTAAGAAGACATTCAATTAGGTATGATTTTTACTGCTGAACTTGAATTATCCCCTAAATTATTTTGTTTTGCCCCAAACCACAATTCAAGAATGTTTCTAACTTAACCTGGAAACACTGATGATTTATCCAGATGACTTTGTTCTTCGTGGCTGAAGCTTAGACACCCATATTCTCTTTGATGATGAATTTAGTGAATCAGACCTTATAATAAGACTAACATTTAAACTCTTCCTCTGTTTAGCAAGAAATGCAGTATTGACTCACACCTGATAGGAAACTTGATTGTACGATGAGTGTGTACAAATCTACAGTCTCAGGAGAGACTTTTTAGTCTCTTAGACTAAAAAGAGTGTTGACAGCATTTCCTCTTGGACTACATACAAACAATGCTTACCTAATGGAAATGCATAAAATCATGTTTTAAATTGTTTTCAAATGAACTTTACCCCGTGAATCCCTGCAGCTGAATTGTGTCTCCCAGAATTGACAGGAACTCCCTGAACTTCTCACTCTCCTTGTTGTTACTCAGTATGTCCTCTTCTGTGAACTACAGAGACACAAAGCAGGTAAGTGAGAGGAAGGACATGTGATACTGTTTCACATTTTAGCTGTTTCTGCTTTCTCTTGTTTGTTTTTTTTTTTTTTTAAGGTAACATTACCTGCCCTTCCTTTTGATACAAAACACCAAACTTGAAATTAGAAGACACTCTGTGCTCATCAAATGCTGTTATTAGGTCTGGAGCCTGAAGGATGAAGGAGGTCAAAGTCAAGCTGCCTGTCTTTATAGACAGAGACTATTTCTAAGTTTCACTTGGAAAAGTACATTTATAAAATGAAGTCGGCCTTTGTTATTATTAACAGGTCATATTAAAATCATCTGTCATATCGCTACGTGTGATCAAACCGGAGGATTACCTTGAGGTAGCTGACCACGTCAAACTTGGAAACCGTCACTTTATCAGACAGCCTCTGTAAAGAATATAAATGTAAATAATCTAAATATGTACCGTTTCTGCTGTTCTAAGTGAGTTATCATTTGGCATATTGATTTTCAACCTTCACACTCAATGTTGATATTCAGTGTGAATATCGACACCGAATATCAACTGTTATACATCTATTACATTGATAACAGATAAAATGACCTTTTTAAATTAAGTTTGATTAATTTCTATGAATAAAGAAAGCTAACGGTACAAATATAATGTCTGAGATAAGATGAGAGCTTTTATTTGTAATGCATGCTGCTACTTTAATAAACTTTTTGTACTGTAAATAATAAAAATATCTTAATTCACTGTACCTTTGCTAACTCTACAACAGATGGCATGTTGGTAAAAAGGGACAAAGAGAAAGTGCCATGCAGGGAGCACTCTTTCATCCTGGGTAAGAAAAAAACAACAACATTGGTTTTATGCAGGCTTTTTGTGTAGAGTTGCTCATATTTAACACCACAAATAGACATTTTTAAAAATAACTTAACATCTTCACACTAATCAAGATCAGAGTAAATCATATATTACCAAAAGTACTGTGTCAGGCTTTCAAATTATTGAAAATGTATAATTTTTAATTTTGTTTTAGATGCTACAATGACAACAAAGAAACTTCAAATGTGAAACTGTCTGTCAGAAACCTAAAGCCTGGCTAAAATGTGTCATCAACTAGACAATAATCCACAACGCAATACATTCATAACAGATCAAATAACCTTTATAAACAAATAAAACTTTTCAATAGACTAAAATTGACCTTAGAATCACCCGTAGTTTGTTCTCCTCCTCCTCCAAACATACAGAGAGAACCAGAGGCCCCAGTGATGGATCCATGGCGATGAATGAATGGTGATACTGTTGGGGGGACAAAGGTTGCTTGCTAAACATGAAAATCAATCTTCCAGCCGTACCGTATTAAAGTTTGACCTTAAAGCAAGGCCTTACTCACTCGAGAGCGGAAATACTCATGGTAGATTTTGGCCTCTCCATCCCTCTCCATGATGTCGTAGCTCTCCGGATCAAGGCCGTGGTGGGAGGAGGTGGGACTCACATCTCTGAGCTTCTCGAGCGGCGGGTCGATCCAGTAGCCTCCCAGTTTGGAAGGAAGAATGAGAGGCAGATCTGCACCTATGTTCAAAAGCTGAGACTAAAACGCACACAAAAGAAGTTCTGAATAAGGTGGAAAATGAGTGTTATGGGGTAAACATATCATAGTGATTATGAAGCACTAGTATCAACACACACATACTGCCATGCAGGGACAGTCAGCTGAGTTATTCTCAACTGTCATGATGACTTACCTTTAGAGGAAGTGGGAATTCACATCGCTGCTCATCGATCCTGCTGCCCTGATGGACAAGAGCACTGATGATAACAAAGCTCCTCTGTTCAGACATCAGCTGATACACACTCACTGTATAAGATCAATCACACTGAAACTCACCTGCAGCTTTGCAATGATTTCAAACAGTTCTGCGTCCTGCACACACATGCATTCAAAGAGAAAGGGAAGGAGAAACATGGAGGGGGAACAGGAACATGATTAATGCATTAAAACACATAACTATGACTTCTCCTGCATGCACAAATGAAATTCTTACTCATGTTTTACCAGAAACAAAGAGAGAACATTAAAGGGAAATCACCCTTTGGTTGTTGCTGGTGGAAAGAAAAGACTTGCTGCCAGCAGTGGTTGGAGAGTCCAGAGCCTCCAGAATGTTGTCCTCCACAGACTCAGGTCTGAAGCAACAGGTTGATTTATTCAACAAGTGTGCACAGTTTGTCAACCTCTACTCCAGCTCAACCAGGACACAATGAAGTTAAAATGCTGCTGGTAAAGAAAAAAAAAAAATGCCTCACCTTGTCTCATCCCCACAGGCGAATCTGTCCACACTTTAACAAGAAACTTAGATGGTTAATTTACTTGTTCAAAAAAACAAAAAAAAACAAATTTAAATTAAAAGCAATTGACTGACTTTTTTGAGAAAAAAAAAAAAGTCCAAACATGAGCCTATACTCACCCGCCATATGCCCCAAAAGTGAAACTTCTCTTTCTGGAGAAGGACATGTCATTCCTCTTTTCTCTCTCCATGGCTTTAGTGTCACCATGAATGTTTCTACATGCCAGTTTGGAACCGAGTCAATCAGGGCTGCCTAAGCTTGAATTAATTCACTCTATCATTCTGTCTCTCCTCCTCCTGTTTCTGCTCCCCCCCTGCCACTCACTCATTTAAGCTTCCCTTTCCTCCCTCCGTCCTGTTGTCAGACAAACAAGCAGCGTTAACCCGCTCATGGTCACACGTGCAGCCTCGCTCAAGCCGCCTCAGTCATGCAGCGTCTTTACGCCACTGATCCCACATGAACACGAATGTGGTGGTTTATTGCAGGTGGACTCTGCTTAAAGATAGACCTGCAAATAAATAAAGAAATGAGTGACACTTTTTTTTTCTTTCCCTCCTGGACCCGTTACCCTTTGAGTCAGTGAGAATCATCAATTATTGACAGTGCACACAGCGAGGGCGAGGAGGTAGACAGCAGGGGAGGGAGAGGTGGAGAGCGCAGCGGAACATCAGAAAGGAAAGGGAGGGAAAGAAACTGAAAGAAAGGAAGATGTAGACAAGGGAGGTGGGACTATTCTAATAACCTTAAAGGAGGGACATGACTGTAAATCATTGTTTCTTTGTGAAAGTTAAAGCATTTTCTAGCAAAGCCTGATCAAGCAAAACTTCAGCAGTAATAAAATGGATAAAGTTTATGTTTGACAGATTTGGCCCCAATAATCCGATATTCAGTCTCTTGTACATTATTCAAATTCCTTAAATCTTTTCACATTTTGCAATCCTGCAGCCACAAACGTCATTGTGTTTAAGTAAGATTTTATGTGACAGATTAACACATATTAGTAAACAAATTAGGGAGCATAGGGGAAAACCCGATTACAGATTTTGTTTTCTGACTTTGCCTCTTTTTTTTTTGTCCTACTTAATTTTCTTAATTTTCTCTGGATGAATTTTGGCCCATTCTTCATTTGCTTGTTTTAAACCATAAACAGCCTAATGTCTAATGCTTGATGTTTAAGTTGAGTCTGCAGGCCATTCCAAATCCTGTGTTTTATTTTCAAGATGCTTTTCTTGGTTATTTTGTGATCTCCTGATTCTTTCAGTAATTGGGAAAGCTCCCCACTGATCTCCCATTTTCCCCATTTGCAGATGTTCTTTCTGTGGTTTACTGGAGTCCTGGCCTTTTGTAACCTTTTCAAAATTGATAGACGTCAGTTGTTTTGTTTCTCAGCTGTTCTTGAATCTCTTTAGAAATTAAATGTGCTACCTGTGTACACCTTTGAACCTCCTTTATGTTATGAGACAGATGCTACTTAAGCAATTTATTCAAAATATTGGTGTGACTGCCACTTTGGCCATTTTTCCCATGGGAAAGAAATGATCTCAGCTGGGTTTTCTGTCCAATAAATGTACTAAATAAAATGCAACTCCCACTCCACCAAAAAAAAAAAAAAAGCGAAAGCAACTGTTGCAGAGCTTTTCACTTTTGTAAGTAATAATTTTTATATATTTCAATAATCATCCTTTTTTCCGAAACGGCTCTTTGACATTGTATCACGAAGTAGTCCCTCTCAATTGGTGGCTATTTGTTTACGATTCAAATTCAAAGTTGCTCTTTTTGCTGTAGTTTTACAGCAGGGGGAAACAACCTGTGATTGGCTACTGAAAACGTCACTCGGAATTTAACGCTATCTGATTGGTCAGAATCGCTAAACATTCCCCGCCCTCTCTGTTTTGGCAGCCTTTCACCCCGCGGAAGTTAGTCGGTGGAGCGAGAAAGAGGATGTTAATGAGTGTGGTTAATTTGCATGAGGCTGTGTGAGAGGTGTGCAAGGCTTTTGGCGTTTCTGCCGGACTGTGTGACATTGTGTTGCGTAAACAAAGGAACGGTAAGTTCTTGGTTCCGATTGAAAGGTTTTAAAGAGAATTAAACAAAGCAAAAAGTCGAAGTTAGCTCGTTAGCCTGCTAGCATCCGTGACAGCCTCTATCGCTCAGATTAGCAGCAATGTCCACACTTTTTGAAATGTTATTTTTATTACCACATTTACATGCCTTCTACTTGTACCGTATTGTTTAAAACGTTTAAAACAAACAAATCATTCATGTGGTATTAATTTTTTCGAGACTGAAGTGCATTTTTTTTACATTACTAGTATAAATTGTGTGTTATTAACTGGTTTCATACCTATGTCAAGTTGCGTGATAAAGCTAGAAAATTAGCATCACGAGAGGGAATGTATAGTTTATGTACAAGCAGAAACAAGAAGCAGTTTGTCAGCAGAAGTGTGGATGGATTCTCATGGATGTTCTGTTAGCTTGGTGCCTACAAAGCCAAATAACATGTTTTAAGTTCTGTACCATGCAATATCTGCATAGAATAATGCAACAGAAAGGAAGGATTTTAGCTTAAAAGGATGTGCTTAATATTGGGCATTAAAAAAATACAGATCTTTTTCTCCTAGAGATGAATCAGAAAATCAAATCAAAATAACTTCACTGTATATATATGTAAAGAAGATGGTAATCAAACATTATCCTATTTTTTTGTTGTTTTTTATGTATATTTTAATGTAAATGGTAGAAAAAAAAACAGTTTTGACTCCTCACAGCTATTACTCAATAGATGAATCCTTCTAAATGAAGTGCAGTTATTTTACATTTTGTCCTTACTTTTTTTTTTTTGTTTTTTTTAGATAAAACTTTCTAAATTCATACTCATCCTTTAATTTCAAACCACTTCCATCCAACCTAGAAGATTATTATGAACTAGGTACATTGTCAATGCAGTTCTGAGCTTTACTAAGTCATGATATTTTAATTTTGTTGGTTGGATGGCAATAATCTGACTCATTCATAACTTGCATAGCTTTCTTCAGAAGAATGTTGATAGGCTTTTAATTGGTTTTGTAACAGTTTCCCCAGATCTTTACATAGTAGTTAATATATGGAAGGATCAAACAAGATTCAAACATGCTCATTTTTTTATCGTTTTTGAAGCTCTTGACAATTAGTATTTTGTGGCAGCAGTCGCAAAAGTGACTCTTTGAACTGAAACAAGTAAAACGGTACTCCCCCTTTATTTTGCAGGACAATGTTGGAGTGCGGCATGCTGGAGCGGGACAAAAAGGCTCTCCAGAGAAACTCGGCTGTTCTGTGCAAACAGCTGGTCGTGGATGAGCTGTTCATCCAGTTACTGCAAGCTGATGGCATCCTTACCGAGAACATGGCAGAAACCATTATGGTGTGTGAGTACAGATATGCAGCACATTAAACAGTCAATAAAAAGCCGGCTGGCACGTTGAAAAACAGCAGCGAGCCTTACAGTGTGAAGATTTTTTTTTTATGAGCCTTTGTGTTGGTCTGTTAGAACAGCTGCCTCTTTCGGGTACAGATTGATGTGTGGTTAGTACAAAGTATCTTGCCAAACACAGCTTTTTTTCTTTGCATCCTACTACACAACTATTATGTTCATCTGATTCAATTCTCAGGCTCCAATAATTGTATATAAATAAGTAATAAATACATTACATCATTTCTGATTCACATGATAAAAACTAGGACCATAGCTTTAAATACATTTTGACTCCCAAATTGAGGGATAAAGTTTGGATTGCAATTATTGTTGGTTACTATGCAACAACGCACGCTTGCATGTAAAAAATATAATCAGATCAAATAACAACAAAGAGCTAAAGAAGTGAATTTGTGAACACTAATCTCTCTTTCTTACCTCTTTAATCCAAGGCAGGGCAAACGTTTCAGAAACGTAGCTGGGGTTTGTTACTTCTCCTCCCAAAACGAGGACCTGAAGCCTTCCAGAGCTTCTGCTCGGCTCTGAAGGAGACTGAGCAGCAGCACCTCTATGACTTGATAGTACAATCCCCTGACAGGAGCAGCAGAGAGATACACGTGGATGTGAGCTGCAACCTTAACGTACATAAGCTGAAGCATTCATCTTTGCATAGTATTTATGTTGTTTTATGCTTGCAGTGTATTCAGGCTGAGAAAGTGCCAGAAGAAAAGTCACGACGACCAGAGAAGACACAAAATCACGGAGAGGTGAGCAGAGGGCTTGAAATCCATAAATATCACGACTGCAGACTTTTGGTGTTTCCCATAAAGTCAAGCCTTTGTAAGTTGTTTCTATAGCAGCTTAAAATTAGTAGAAATCCCAAAGAATGCAAAATTTTAGTAAAGTGGTCTTTTTCAGTCATCTTTATTAGACAAAGAGGAAAGCAGTGAGGTGAGCAGCACCTCGTCACTCTCAGCCAGGCCCTCTGATAGATGCGGAGCATCCTCAGAGTCGTCCAGAGAGATCAGCCCAGTCAGAGAGGAAAACAGGGACAAAGGAAGGAAAAAGGCAAGAAGAACTTATAATCAGGAAAATGTGGGAGTTATAAATTCCACCTATTGGTTCTCATGTGCAGAGTCAGACAGAATTTGTCAAACAGCTTTCAGGAGAGGCTGAGATCTTGAGTAGGATTATATAGTCACCATTCAAGCTGCTGACATTTAACTTTAATTTAACTTTTTAATTCCAGAGGACTTCTCTCCCATTTCCAACTCAGGAGGAATATGCTGCAAAGAGAGCGAGGACACACAGTGAGTATTTATCGCAGCGTGTCTCGTCTGCATGCAAAGTAAATTAGGTTATTCTGAACCCAGTGTTGTTGTCAGTGTTTGTTTCCTGGGAGACAAGAAGGTGTTGTCCTAACAAAAGGCCTTATCTGTTGTTTTATTTAAAGGAAAATGTTAAATACTTAAACAAGAATGCATTTTGGAACTACTTGCTGAAATAAGTCTTGTTTCAACTTCCTAAAGTTTGTTTAAGTCTTCTAGTATTTGTCTGTATGTGTGAGGTGTGAAAGTCTGGTTCCTCCACCTTGCTGTTGCTACTTTCTGTACCTGCAGACGCCCCACCCTAATAGTGACTCATTCACAAAAATGCTGTATAATTTCAGTTGCAAAAACACTTGCAACTGCTTGAGAGATTTGAATGAGAACCAAAAACCAGTGACAAGCAGAGGTTTTTGTTTTTGATTGTCTGCAGCAGAGTCCATGGAGTTCAGCCTCGACGCCGACAGTCCCATCAACACTCCTGTTCTCCCGTGCACACCTGACTTTTATCTGTCTCACTGCAAGCAGGTACATTACCAACAACCCAACTCAGCAGATCGACAGTATTAATGCTTTTTCATGTTTTTGTTGATGGCCTCCAAATAAGGGAAAGTCATTTTTGGTTTGTCCTGCAACATGTGCAGCAGTAAGTTTCCAGAGGTCATTAAAGGTCAACCAGCTCCTGACACTTACAAAAATCAAACGAAACTGATACCAGTCAACTGTACTAGATTTGTGCTTTTTTTCTTTAGCAGCACAAATGTAGCACCAATTTTGTTTGGGGTGGGTTGTGTGAAGCAGGGTGGGTTGATCTTTCACCAGTGTAAATCCTTAATAGCAAAAGCAGCTCAAACAAAAATTTTAGCAGCTTGTAAATATATCAAAATTAATTGGTATCAATTTTGTTTGATTTTAATGTTTGACCACTGATCATTTCTGGATATCTTTTATTAAAATGTCAAAAATAATAGACACAAACAAAAAAAAATGCTATACAAAGTTGATTGACACCAATTTTGTTTCATTGGTGGATCTTTGATGTTGTAAATGAGTTTGTTGTTAGATGGTGGATTGACCTTTGATGACCTCTGGAAACATGCATTAATACCTTTTAAAATTATAGTGGCACAAATAAAAATAATTGCTGCATAAACATGTGACACCAATTTTGTTTGATTTGAAGAGGTTGGGGCAACACTAATGTATTGGAATTGAATGTCCTTGTTACTACACACAGGAGTTTGTTTTGGATTGAATACAATAATTTTAATAGTTGACTTTTCTTTACTTTAGGAAAGGATTAAAATGAAGTCACAGGGACAAAAAAAACACAAATTTATGTTGATAAATTTCAGCTCAATACACAAGTCACATTCCAGAGACATAGAGCACAAATTTAAGTTAATAAAGTTGTATTTAATTTGATTAAGCTTGTAAGTGAGTTAAAAGTCAGGTATTAAGATAAATTTTAACAATAATGACTGAAGTGGAGAATTGTTTCTAACTTGTACAGGGGAGCAATGTGTCTGAGCTGTGGCTAGACTGATGCAAATTTAATTATCAGTAGAAGAAGAACTGAATAGGAATATATAGTGGCTTTGAAACTTGCATTAATCCTGTTTTAACTTGTAATATATGTTATGTTATTCTGTCATATTAAAAGATTTTCGTTCCCTACTTCAGTCCTACAGAATGAACTCCTCACCCCGAGGCTTTGCCTTGGTCATCAGTAACGTGAGCTTTGACTCCTGCTCTGCTCCTGGTCTTGACCCAAGAAAAGGAGGTGAAGTGGACGATGAAGTCCTCAGAAAGGTTTTCACAGAGCTGGACTACCACGTCAGTGTCCACAGAGACCTCACTGCTCAGGTACATCCACTAATCACTCCAAATTTAACAGAGGAGAAGTTCTTTTCTCATGATAAACTTGAGCAGGAAACGTAAATCTGAGGAGCTTTATGACATCAAATCTGCTTATTGAGCTTGTTAAGGACCTCTTTTTAAGTAACTGGTACAGGGAAGATCATTTAGGGCAACATTTGTTTGCTTATTCTAATTGAACTGTTTTCCATCTGGTGGAAAAACACACTTGACAAAGCAAGCATACTGTTTAATATTTTAATACGTTCTGAGAAAATGTCTCAATTTTTTAAAACAGTTTCTAAAAGAAGTAGAAATAACTTACTTTTGATTTACATGAGTGTTTCAACTACTTGTCTCTTAAATTTGTGCAGGGCATGAGGACATGCATCGAGAACTTCTGCAGGCGGTCCGAACACCAAACAGTGGACAGCTGTGTGGTGTGTTTGCTCTCCCACGGAGTGGAAGGAGCAATTTATGGCATAGATGGACAACTTGTCCAGGTAAATTTGTTTATTTTAAAAATTGAATGTAAGATGATAAAATTGTTTTTTTGTTGTTATTTGTAGCATTTAATGTTTATCACTTGTCTGTGTTCAGCTCGATTGGGTGTTTGAGGCCTTTGACAATGCACACTGTCCTCTGCTTCAAAACAAGCCAAAGATGTTTTTCATTCAGGCCTGCAGAGGAGGTAAGTAATGATAGTACAGATAATATGTTGAGATTTAGTCTAACTTTGACATAATTTAAGGCAGTTTATGGTTAAAAAGACATTAATTAGTCATATGGCAGTCTCTTCCTCCACATGTCCAGATATGATCTACTTTCTCCTTTCTGGCTGATGAAATGATCAGTGTGTTTGGCGTTTTATCATTCATCTTTCTGCTACGTAGCTCCAGCTGTAGATTGTGCCACAAAACCCTATTTGGTTTAAGGGTAAACTAAATAAATGCAACATTTAGTTAGTGGGTTTCTACTGAATTACCTTTCACCAGTGTAAATCCTAAAATACAAGCATCACAGATTTGCTGTATTTTCTGATCTCCAGTTTTCTGTAAAGCTTAGATATGCCATTAGGATTTTTGTCTGTAATAATAGATGATGTAAGAATAGGAGTTAAAGTGGAACTCTACTGGGCCCATTTCAGCTGCTGTTTTGACACCATTTCTCCTAGAAAAGCGATTACCATTTGACATGACTCTGCAATGAGAGATTAGCAGTAGGCTTGCTCGATGGAAAATCAATCCAAAATACTCTCTTTTCATCAAGGACTCAGTAGTGATCACAGAGCGCAGTCCAGAGCCCCTCAAAGTGCTGTGAACACCAAGATAGCAGCTTGTTTTAGTAAGGTGTTTAGATCAGAAGAGATACGTTGTTTGAAGAAATAGTGTTTTGACAGATTTCTTCACCCTTGAGATGTAGGTAAAATGGAAAAGACCTCCCTGTCTGCGGGGTCGAACTTAAAAAGGCTCGATATCATCATGGATGATGTGAAACATGAATAATGGAGATTTTACACCTCACTAGACAGGTGGTTTCTTGTGTCAGTGATGGACATTACGTCATGTTACATCCCTGTTCCAGCCGAGTGCTACTGCCTTAATTTAATCTTAATAATGGAGAACCTGTTCAGTCAGCCTTATGCAATACGTGGCTGGGGTTGTGTCTGTGAAAACATACCAGACAGATCGAGACAAGTCTGATAATGGAAACTCTATCTCCTTCAAAAGTGCCTCAGTTTTATAGTTTGCACAATGTTAAAAGCAACTAAGTGGAGCCTGTTCTGTTTTAGACGAGATGGACTGTGGGGTTGAGCAGCTGGACGGGCCAGGGAGGACGTCTTCACCGAGCTGTGAGCAGCGGGACGCAGGGAGGGAGGCAGAGGGGGACGCAGACCCCAGACAGAGGCGAGACTTGGGGAGGCCCAGGATCAAACTACCTCAGCGCTCAGACATGATCTGTGGCTTTGCGTCTCTCAAAGGTCAGAGAATTTGTAAGTTTATCTTATTTGTCTTACATTTGCATTTATTTATTCATGGGAAAAAAAAAGACTTCTTAATTTGTGAAATTAAGTTCTAACTGTCAGAACTGGTGGTGAGATTTGTAGCTTCACACACATTTTCAGATCTGACCACAACTTCCCCATCATGCTCAGGTCAGGACTTTGAGTCCATCTACCTTTGGAAGAGGACCAGTATCTCCTTCAGCAAAACAACCCCACAGTATGAAGCTGCCACCTGTATGCTTCACAGTTAGGATGGTACAACTGTCCCTGTTTTCCAAATGATGGTGGCCAAACAAATCCTCTCTAGTTTGGTCAGACCACAGGCCATGTCCAAAATTGAACTTCTGCTGCTGATGATTTTAGTTTTCCATGATATTCATTCTTGTGACTTTTATTTGTGTAGTAAGTCTCTGTTGTTTTGATGTCTTCCAACTTAAGGCACAGCAGCAATGCGAAACACCAAGCGAGGGTCCTGGTTTATCCAGGAACTGAACACAGAACTCCGCCTTCATGCCAGAGACAGACATCTTTCAGACATGCTGGTGCAGGTGACAGATACTCTTTTTTATATATATATAAACTCATACTGTTGTTTCCTCATAAAATGCTCACAAAGCCTGTTTTATTTCTATGTCCAGGTAAATGCACGTATCAAGGAGAGGGAAGGTTACGCCCCAGGCACCGCCCACCATCGCTGCAAAGAGATGTCCGAGTTCACCAGCTCACTCTGCAAAGACCTCTATCTTTTCCCCAAGTACCAGCCCCAGTATTGATATGCAGAAACACACTTTAAACAAGCACACACAGATCATTCCTTGAGTTGAAACCTTTCAGTAAAAGCTCAACAGAACTGCCGGTTATCACCTCACATTCCCCCAGTTAAAGCTTCACATCCACTTCTGCTCAAACCAAAACACACATCCACACCTTCCTTATAAACCCTGAAATAAGAAGCAAAATATTTGTGTTTTTGCCGGTTGGATGGTTTAATTGTAAATCATTTTTCAGTCAAGTTGCACAGCATCTCCGAAGTTCCTCAAGTCTCTTTATGAAATCTGTATTTTGTACACAGATATATTTTTGTGGCTTTGTTTTTTTATGAAATCGCTTTTATATGACTTTTTAAACCCGTGCTTTTTATTTTCTTATGTTTGTTATAAGTTGTGAAGACAACTTGTTCTTAGTGTAGTGACAGGCAGAGGGCAGCACCACAGAGATCATTTCATCCCCCATTACAGATCAATAATATTCTCACCCTGTGGTTTTGCAGGCAAATATAAATCAAAAGAGGTTTAAAAAGGAACAGGTTAAAGATGTTATGTCTTTATCCACTCACAGTCTTTCAGTCATTTATTCTTTTTGTTTAGATTTAAATGCTGAGTTGGAACAATGCAGCTTTATAAATGTTTGTCAATATTTTATTCACTTATAATCTTTAAACTTCTCCTGTCTACTACATGGTAATGGGCTGGATTTTGGTGCTACGCTCTTATTTATTCATCTAATTTCTGACCTTTATTTTTATAGTATCTTGCAAAGTTATTCATGCCCTTAAATGTTTCCACATTTTCTCACATTGCAACCATGGATGTCAGTGTATTTTATTGGGATTTTAAATGAAAAAACAACACAAAGTAGGACAAAATTGGAAAGTGGAAAGAAAATGTTTTACAAATAAACGCATGAGAGCGTTGGTAAATTGTCACAGACACTTAATTCGATTCAGGTATGAGCTGTGTCATCTAAATATACTTTAATCTAAATTGTTTTGATGTAGCTCTGGCGTTATGTTACGCCAGAGCTACTGTGTCTTGTTTTTTTTGTTTCTTTTCTGCTCTGTGTTTGGCTTCAGCTTCTCTGTACCTGCAGAGTAGCAACATTCCCACAGCATGATACTACCACCACCATATTCCACCTTATTGATGAAGTCTACACTTAGGCAAACCTATTTTTGTATTCCTTATTGTTTTATAAGCTAACCCTGCTTCAAACGTCTCCAGTGGCCTGCCTGATGTGTTTCTTTGTAATTTTGGAAATTATGCCTCCCACTTTGCAATCAAGCATAGCTTTGCACAAAACTCAGAAGAAATAAACTGATGTTTGCAGTGACAATGTGACAAAATGTAAAAAGATTCAAGGGTTTTAGAGGTATTGATACTTTTGGAAAGCACTATAGTGTTTATTTTGTGAAATTACTATGACTGATACAGTCAGGATAAACAATGTCTTCCATAAACATGAAGCAGTTTCCTTGCAGCAGCCATGTGAGGATTTTCTGTTTGATGAACTCATGACTATGGTAGAAATTTTATGGTAGTTGCCCTCCACACACAGATTAATATCTCCAAAGCCTGAGTGACAATTAAAAGCCCCCAGAGAGGCCTCGATGAGGTGAAGTATGTTCAGTTGCGTCAGTGTTGTTTTGTGGGAAAAGTATTTATCTGAAACGGTTTTGGTTTGTAACTATCTGGTCACGACCGTGCTCCGCCGTGGAGCAGAGACATTCCTTTTTATACTGATATAGTGGAGATATAACATAAAGAGAGAAGCTGGTGTGAAAAGTTTAGTGAAGAGTTTTGAAGGTCAGATTTTATTGTACCTCACTGTGTTAAAGGGGGGCTGAGGAGATGTCTTCACGACCAATGACTGCCAAAAAATAAAAATAAAACTTTGATTTTAAAAGTTTGTTTTGTCTTTTTCTCTGCAAAAATGTGGCAGTTTAACTGGAGAATGTAGTTTCCACCAAAATCTCTCGGTGAACATGCACCCCGGCTGCTCCTGCGTGTGCTCCACTGTATCCGATCCTCCTTGTTGCCGTGTTTGTGCGTGTTGTTGCCTGTGTACAGCCTGTCCTCTCTGATCTCCGGTATAGTATAACTGGCTGCGCACTATTTTGCTGCGCTCAGGTCTCCATGCTGCAAACTGGGATGTAGGAACCTCTCGCTTTGCCCGCCGACACCCGCTGATAATGTTCTTGGTGTATCAGATACGGGCCCAGCCAGCTGTCCACAGTCATTCTCCCCCTGACACACACACATAGTCAGAGTAACACATTTCCTGCTGGCCTCTGATGTAGCTGTGAGATTAAGATGTTATGTGCCTGCGTGTGGACCACAAAGCAGGGCAGAGTTAGGAGGGATCTGTGTGCGTCTTTGTGGCTTTTATAATGGCCGCCTGTCTCATTAGCCCGAGTGGAGCAACCCTCCAACGAAAGAGAGACGCCTACATAAATACTTCCACCATCATTTGGGGGAATTTTTTTATAGTTGTCTCAAAGTGTTTCTCTAAACATTGCCTTTTTTTATTTACAAACCCATTTTCTGTCATCTGACCTTATTTTTAGAGGAATGCTGTAATTTTTAAGTCCATTCACCTCTGACAGATGAATCGTTTTGGTAGAAAAAAGCTGAATTCAAAGGATGAACCAGTGTTGTGTTGGATAACTTCACAATGAGACACATTTGTGTGTGGTACTTTTTTGATTAAATCTATGACAAATGCCAAAGAACAGAGTTTAGTGGATATAAAATAGTGTTTTGGCTGCATCAAAGTGATTCCTTGAGCTGGTCGCTGGAAATTTGCCATGCATGCAAATGATCGACTCAAGAATGATGAAGCTACCAGGTCTCGTCTCAGGTCTTTGTTGGTCTAGTTTGTACAGTAGTCCCTTCCAGATAGTGTTCAAGTTGCACTTGAAAGTCAAAATTTTCTACTGAAATCAAATCAACTTTAAGGCTTCCTAAATTTGAAATTCCCAAAGTTAAGAGTCTCCCAGATGCCTTGAGTTGAATTGCAGTGTGAATCCCATGTCCATAAAATGACAGTGAAAGCTGCAGGAACAAACTGTTTCTTTTCACTTTGGATGCAGAGATGAAAATGAAAATGTTCCTTTTCCAAAAGAAAAATATTGAAGAATTAATTATTAATGTATCATATATACTGTAGTGAGATATTTGATAACTGCTCATGTTGTGACATTTTCGGTTATCTATCCAGCCTTTGGCTTCCATTAATCCAAGACTGGGTCATGGGAGCAACAAGTCCAGGATGAAAACCCAAACATCTCTGCCCAGTAACATAGTCCAGCTCATTCTGGAGGACCTTAAGGGCTCCCAGACCAGACAGGATGCATAGTCCCGCCACCAGGTTCTGGATCTTCCCTGGAGCCGGTCCTGACATCAACACGTCAGGACCTTAGGTGAAAATGAAGACGTACCAGTAAATGGAGAGCTTTGCTTTTTGGCTCAGCTCTTTCTTCAACACAAAATTGTAAATGGCTTGTACTTTATTAAGTTCAGAGAACCCCAAAGCGCTTCACCCTACAGTCAGTCATTCACGCACACACTGATGGTGGCCACAGGTGCCCTGCAGCAGCCTGACCGATAATAGACCGAAGCAGCGTCCCCTTAACTCAGACGAAGCCCCAGTCGGTTTCTCCATCTCTGCTTCCTGAGAGAGATCAGGATGTGTTTGTCTGACAGGGACGTCATCTCTCAGGATATGAGGCCTCTTGAGTTTTCCATTTTTTACACCACAGATTGACTTAACTCTCCTGCACTAGCTCATGTGGATTACCTGCGTCAGCTGCAGGTAACATGCAGAGGGCTTTACAGGCGGGGTTCTTCGGGTTGAGTGTTTGCTGTGTTAGGGTACATTTAAGGATGAGGGCTCTGCCCCAGCATGTGAGGGTAAGGGGGGAATGCTTCGCTGCATTGGCTGGTAAGGTGTGAGCTGTCATAGGGGGTGTCATGTGCACCTTCTCGCTCACGTTGCAGGGGCAGCCCTGTGAGGGGTGCCCTTCCAGCTACCACCCCCCACCACCGCCGGTGTCCAAACAAGAACAGGCCATCCAAACACACACACACACACACACACATCTAATGGTTGGCTGGTAGGGAGGGTGCTGCAGGAGCAACAAGTTCTGTTTGTGTGTGTGTGTTATTAGGTGTCTGCAGTTCTAATAAAGGAAAGCGCTGTGTCCCTCTCTGCCTCATCAGATGGCTTTGCTCTGCTTTGTCTGTCCGTCTCATTTCTGTCCGTCAGTCCTGAAGTGGAGCCGGGCCGCTCACAGCCTCTGGACCATCAGGAGAGGAGCGCCTTCACCGGTCGTCTCATCCGCTTAGTGTTTCGCTCTCCTCAGCCAGGAGACTGAGAAGCAGAAGATGTTTGTGTGCTTATTTGACCTGGTGTGAAGAGTGTACGTATAAGACTGCGTGGTGCATGGTGTTTGCCAACACCGTTGGAAATGCTGGGGTGTCCAGCGAGGTTATTTTTGGATCAGTGACAGCGTGTCAATGGCTGCAGATGCGTCGCAAAGGAAGGCTCTGAGATACCAGCAGACCCTGGTAGGTGTTTCCGCCTTTACCTTCTCACTCATCCTCACGGTTCCCCTCTACAGCAGCTTTCTCTACAGCTTGACTCGCCTGTTTTTCCTTTTCTGGTTACTTCCCTGTGAAGTTTGTTGCTTTTACTCATTTTCTTTCAATTGTCCTCCATGTTATATCACAATAGTTACTTTTCATGGCCTCTTGTCCAATCAGTATTCCCCATCTGCTGTCTTTGTGCTTCTTTTCTAAGCAGGATTTAGTATCAAGCACATTAACAAACCCGCAGCTTTATAACGCCCACGCCAGAGAGAAACCGGTAAATGGAAAGTCATCTCAACAATAAACAGGAGTTATATCAAAGCTGCAACCATTATTTTTCTCTTTTTTTTTTTTACACGCTGAGTCACTTCTTGAACTCTTACCTTTCCCTGGTTATATCCTGGAAAAAATGGATTTCTCTGTGGCACCTGTACTCCCACTCATCCTGCAGCCTTTTAAGTGTTGGTGGTTATAAATACTGTATACAGGAAACCTGAGCAGACAGGTTAGCTATACATGCTGAGATGTGGCCATGTCACGATGTCATCTGTTAAAACGCTCATCCGGGGGTTATTGTGTGAGGGCACTGCAGACTTTCTTATTTTCATCCAGCGTGTTGCTGCTGCAGACATAATGGACTCACTGCTTCAAACTGTCCCTTCCTGCAGCTTTGATTGTGAATTATAAGACAAGATAATGAGCAGTCACGGCCCAGAGCAGCTGGGTGGAGAGCCAACAAATTTGTAAATGACAAAGTAAGCAGAGTCACAGTTCTTCTTATTTTCCTGGCCCGTCGCCCGAAGAGAATCTCTGACCCCCATGACCCGTCCTCATGAACCCCTATAAGACCCCTCAAGTCAGATCTAAATAAGAAATCTCAATTTGTCACGCTATTTACAAGCCGAACGATTCAGCGATGTGACACTCCTCTCTCTCAGGTGCAAACTCTGCTGTGGCGTCCGGAAGGAATTAAAAGCCTCCGAGGGTTTGATGTGTGGAGCTGTTAATGGGTTGTCACAATATGACTCATTTATTGATCTGGAGCAGAATGTGGTGGCGTGTGTCTTCAGGTCGACATATTTGTTTTTGTAGCTCAGAGAAAGAGCTTCTAATTGCAGTGTTCATACTGAGATTTGGTTCATGATCAGCACTGAAAGGGTTTCATTGGGACTTTATGTGATACAGCAGCAAAAAGTGGTGAATAAATGTAAAGGAAGGAAAAGAGGAACTAACTGGCTGTTCTTTTGAAGAACACCAGTCTCTAGATCAGGGGGTCAAATCAAAATGTTGAATGTTCTTAAAGGGCCAGTTGTGCCGAATGTATTGATAAAATCTGTTTGCAAACTGCTAAAATATCAATGAACATCTGTTCAGTCCCTCCAAGAATTTTGTGATTCTTTTTTGCACCAAATAGTGTTTGTGGTACTAATTTGCAAATATTCTTATATTTGCACTTATTTAAGACTCACTGTGACAGATCAGGGACTACAACCTAACATTGATCAAAGCTGAAAAAGCTGTTTTTACAAGTAAGAAAGTTTTTGACAATTTGTGAGAAAAATCTGCAATAAACTCTCAATTATTCAGGCATAAAAGTGTGGGAATTTGTTGATTTTGTATGAATTTTCACAATAACTCTCAAGACACTGGAGGGACTGATTGATACAGTTTTCCAGGAAACAGATTAAAAACTGCATTGATTTGATTGATAACATTATATATAAGCAACTTAGATAGCTTCTGTATTATTTTCCTCCTGCTTCTCAATTACTTGATACTTGTGTTTTTTTCCAAACATAAATTTGAATGTGAATAACATAACATTTTGAGGTTGAACTACCGGGATAGATAAGGCACGTTTATTTTATAAATACGGAGGGCCATGTGTGTAAGTAACCCTTTTAATATTTGTTAAAGGAATATTCAATTCAGATTTTGTGTGTGTGAGGAGCTTCTGCTGCAGGAATAATAAACGTTTTCTGAAACGTTTTCTTAAGCTAAAATTAAGTAATTTATGGAAATAAGAATTTATTTCCCTCAACAAAATGTAAAATTAGCTGTAATCAATAAATTAGCAGAGCAGCCTGCTGTGAAGGTGTGCAATTCTAAAATGTCTGAGAGCCACTAACACTTTCTTTCATTGTAATTGTTGCAGTTTATTATGATTACTTTTACTTTTTTGTTAGGAATATTTAGAGAATGGAAAGTAAATAATTTGTAGTCAAGGAATTTCAACTCAAACAAAAAAATGTTGCATTTTTAGTCTGTTTCACTTCAGTTTGGATGTCCTTTGACCTGCAAACCAGATAATTGAAG